GAAGGATCAATTTTATGTCTTTTTATCAGTGCTCTTTTCCATGTATCAAGGACTATTTTATATAAAATATAATGAAAATAAATTAGTAGAAAAATGAAATGATAATACACATACACAATTCCCATCTATGTTTTTATCTTTAGATTCAACAAACTTACTTTCTTAAATTGGTATAAGTTTCTAAGTGCCATATCTGAATTTCTGTATTTATCTCATTGCACTGATCCACGGACCACCCTTTGAGTAGTACTGGTCTGTAATAGCACAAGTACCACATTTAGTTGTGTATGTGGCCATCTTTCTTACTAGAGATGAGTCTCTACATGGTAACATTGCATATACCCGGCAGCCTGCGGCAGGGGACTTTATATCTCATCATATTCTACACATGCATGTGAACAGGAGCTCAAAATAAAGGATAAGTGGAAGCACCGCCTTAGGAAAGTAACTCAGACTCTAAAGTCAGCAATGTGAACCAGACATGGAGGCACACTCCTGCAATCCCAGAAACTGAAAAGGCTGAGGCAGGAGGAGCAAAAGTTTAAGGTCAGCCTCAACAACTTAATGAGACCCTGCCTGAAAATTAAAAAAAAAAAAAAAAATTTCAACTACAATACAAAGCCAAGTACTAAGAGACCCTGCCTGAAAATTTTTTTAAAAATAATATATATATATATATATATTTAATATATATATTTTTAATAAATATATATTTTATATATATATATATATTTTTTTCCAACTACAATACAAAGCCAAGTACTAAAATCTCAGAAACAAACTACAATCTATATTCTCTTGGCAAGCTTTACTATAAAGGGCCAGATAATAAGTATTTTAGGTTTGTGGGCTCTGAAGTCTCATTGCATTGACTTGTCTGTGCCACTGTAGTGTGAATAAAGCCATATGCAGATAATTGGAGGCAGTCGTGTTCCAATAAAATTTTATTTATGAATACTGATATTTAAATGTCATATTTTTTTAAAAAATATCATATTTTAGCGGAGTATGGTGGTGCATACCTGTTATTTCAGCAATTCAGGAAGCCAAAGCAGGAGTATTGAAAGTTTGAGTCTAGTGGGCTGGGGCGGTGTGTAGCTCAGTGGTACAGCTTTTGCCTCCCACATGTGAAGCACTGGGTTTGATCCTCAGCACCACATAAAAATAAATAAATAAAGATATACTACAACTTAAAAAAAAAAAAAAGTTTGAGTCCAGCCTGGGAAACTCAGCAAAACCCTGTCTCAAAAAAGTAAAAAATAGCTGGGGCTGGGGGGCTCAGTGGTAGAGCGCTTGCCTAGCACATGTGAGGCCCTGGGTTTGATCCTCAGCACCACATAAAAATAAATAAATAAAGATATTGTCTCCAACTAAAAAATAAATATCTCAAAAAAAGTAAAAAATAAAAAAGATTGGGGATATAGCTTAGTGGTACGGTGCCCCTACATTCAAGTCCCAGTACTGGGGAAAATCCCAAATTTTCAGTCATAAGATGACTCTTTTGATTTGTTTTCATTCATCTAAAAAATGTAAAATCTATTCTTAGCATGGCAGACCATTCAAAAGCAGGCAGAAGGCTGGATTTCGTCCTCTGCTCTTTAGTTTGCCAACTCTGCTCAAAACCCTGTCCATCTCAGTTCAGCTAAACAAATCTATTGCACATTATTAATAACCTTGAGTCTATAGGCTGGGGAAGGTGGAAAAAGTTGAATTTGTTCTGTGCTAAAAATTTTTTTAGTTGTAAATGGACACAATATCTTTTTGTATACTTATTTATTTTTTAAATTTTTTTTAGTTACACACGGACACAATATCTTTTTTTTTCACTGTTATATATGGTTAATGATTCTTCGGACACAATATCTTTATTTTGTTTATTTTTATGTGGTGCTGAGGATCTAACCGAGCACTCTTTCACTGAGCCACAACCCCAGCCCCACTTATTCATTTTTTAAGGTGGTGCTGAGGATTGAACCCAGTGCCTCACATGTGTGAGACAAGCACTTTACCACTGAGTTACAGCCCCAGCTCTGTGCTAAAAATTTTTTAAACTTCATTTTGCAGTAATTTCAGACTAGAAAAAGGTTGGTGGGGCGAAGGGGGTGGGGCGGAAACAGTACAAAGAATCTCTTCACTGAGTCCCCAAATGTTAACATTTTCCACATTTACTTACCTTTCCTGCGTTCTTTTCATGTCTAGACTACCAACTCTTGAATCCTGTTTTCTCTTTCCACATTTTTAGTTTTGGGACTTTCTCTTTCCACATTTTTAGTTTTTTAGTTTTGGGACTGGTAGAGTCAGTTGCAAAGATCATGTCCTTTTGTTTCCAAACACCAAGAACATTCTCTAACATATCTACAGCATTGATCAAAATCAATACAAAACTACTATTTAATCTTTAGATTCTGGGCCATTATGGAGATGAGGGACATTAACATCGATGCATGATATTATCTGATCTACAAGTCTAATTCTGATTTCATCAACTGTCCCACTAATATCTTGTATTTGCCAACCATTGTCTCTGGTAACTCCCACCACCACCACCATTACCCAGTGAATTTGATGTTGTTATGTCTTTTTCACCAATGAAGAAACTACAGCTCAGAGAGATTATGCAACTTGTCCACAGTCAGATAAATGGTAAGTAGCAGAGGCAGAATTCTGACTGTTGCCTGTCCTGAAGTCCTTCCTCTTTTGGGGGCGGGGGGATGTTGGGAAGGAGTAGTTGGGATTGAACCCAGAAGTGCTTGACCACTAAGCTATATTCCCAGTCTTTTTTAATTTTAGTTTTATTTTGAGTCAGGGTCTTGCCAAGTTTCTCAGATTGGCCTTGAACTTTTTATTTTCCTGCCTCAGCCTCCTGAGTAGCTGGCTTTACAGGTGTGTGTCACCTTTCCCAGCAAACTCTTGCTCTTCAGTACTGGATTAGAATTGCAGAGTTAAGAAAGGACTTCACAGATCAAGGAGGGGGAGTTGGCATTATATGCATGAATAGAAGGAAAATCAGTGACTGATCCTGTCCTGGTCTCTCAAGGAAATGTCCAGTGGGAGAGGGCATGGGCAAACAGGAGGTTTGGATATGTTGTTATACAATATGAAAAAGGTTTTTTGCAACATCAAGAGATAAGCTAAGATTACTATTTTGACTCCTTAAAAAGTAAAAACTTTTTACTTATTAAAAAAAAAACTACTAGATACAAAAAGCAACACAAAACAAATACATGATATAAGGAGTTATACAAGGTGATGAGGCCTAGCAAGGGAAAGACAAAATAGGAAGGCCACATTGGAGACTTAATTGAGAAGAGAGCTCAGAGGAATCTAACTAAAGTCTGGTCAAGGGGAGAGTCTTTGTCAATAGCATAATTAGACCACACGTTTGTTTTTCAAAATAAAAAGTTAACAAAATAAAAAGTTAGACAATGACATCTAAAAGATTGGATTTTATGTTATGTAAGTTTTAACGCAATACAACTGGGAAAATTTAAATACATATACTTAAAAGCAATATCCCTAAAGTTTTCTTCCCTTAAGTTTTTTTTTTTTTAATTTTTTTTTTTTTAGTTGTTGACAGACTTTTATTTTTTTATTTATTTTTATGCGGTGCTGAGAATCGAACCCAGTGCTTCACACATGCCGGGCAAGTGCGCTTCCACTGAGCCCCAGTTGAAACTTGGGTAGTGAAAGAACAGTGGGATTTTCAAAGAGTGCAGGGAAACAACCAGGAAAAAGAGGGTAACTTTGCATTAAAGTCTGGAAGTTATCTGAGGCCCAGGACAAATTAGTTTACACCGAAACCTTTCTCCAAATGTAAAAATAGTGCTGTTCATGCCCATTTGACAGATCTGCCTACAACGCAGAGATGACAAGAGAACCAAATGCAAAACTGAAAGGTGGGAGGCACTGCTGCTCTCATCACTCAAAACTCCATGAAATAAACTGCAGACCCAACTGTTTTGGAGGTTGACATTAGAATAAATTTTGCCACAGCTGAATCACACTTCTAAATTTATCCGTAATTAGAGCAATGGTTCTCGAACTTCAGCATAGATCATAATGAGTTGGAGAGTATGTAAAATTAGAGATAGCTGGGTTTCATACCCCCACCCCACCCCACCCCAGTTTCTGATTCAGGGTTTTTTGGGAGGGGGCTCCAGAATTTGCATTTCTAATAAGTTCCAGGTGATGTCGATTTGGTTGGACCATAGACCACACTTCGAGAACCCGTGCTTTAGAGTTTTAGGATCGGAGTTAGGTTTAGTGTTATCAATTTCCCCCTTGAGTTCTCTCCAAGCCGCCAAGGGAAAAGGAGACCCCTTGGCAATGTCCAGCTCCCGGGAGCGTTATCAAGCTGTTGACAGTAGGGCCTCTCGATCGCCATTCCAAAGGGTTCTCCCCTAGGCCGTCACTAGCAAAAAACAGATAACCCTGCGCTGCAATCACGCGGGCGAGGGCTCTCCCTTTCACCTCAACCCCGGGCTCGGCTACCGCGGGGTGGAGCCGGGGGCGGAGCAGGCGAGGGGGCGGCGCCAGGCTGCGGGTCCTCAGCCAAGAAAGGCCGAGCGGCTGGCCCCGGCGCCGACTGCGGAGCTGAGAGGTTGGAGAATGGTTATGATCGGGGTCCTGGTTCGCATCCTCTCTTTGATGCTGGCGCCGCTGCTGCTGGGTTCTGCGGGCGGCTTGCTCGTAAGTCTGCGGGACTCCAGCGCTGGGACGCACTGCTGGGGGCAGGCTGATGGGAAGCCAGACTGAGGCCGTGGTCACCTCAGGTCCTGGCAAAGCCGGGAGCTTGAGACCCCGGAGTGTCCCGGAGCAGGCAGGCAACAGGCCGAGCTCAGGCAATGGACTGGCCTTCCTGTCGGGGGCGGGCCGGGCAGATCGGGCGGGGCGCGCGTCCTTCCCTGTAGCTGGGTCGCCTGTGTGTTCCGCTCGGACTGCTCCTTTTGCATGGACCTACTTCCCCATTTGTGTAACGAGGTGGGGAGATGAGGTGCGCCTAAACCTATTCAATTTCGGATTTCCAGGAGAGGGAATCCAAGTCGTGCGGGCTATTGGAGGGCTCAGTGGACTCCGGTTTGGTGCGCCCTCCCTTGCCTAGTTCCGTGCTCTGCGGAGCGCTCCGGAAGGAGATAAATGGGGTCAGGAGAGGCCCCCTCAAAGATGAACCTTGTAATGTTTTTCTGGAGGGTGATCTTCCTTTCAAACATCTGGTCTCCTCCTCGCCAATCCCCCGCCGCCTGCTATTGGGCATGGTGTTTCATCGCGTTCGTGGGACCCTTTTTCTTTAGGGTTTTGCAGGCCAGATTGAGGGTGGGAGGAGGCAGGCTGCAGGTGGGCACCAGCGTTGACAGATCGTGGTCAGAGAGGCTGTTGGGGCGTGGGGGCGTTCACCTGGGGAGCTCTGCGTCACATCTGCGGAAAGAGAGGGAGTAGTTTGGAACGCGCAATTGCCTCACTGCACGTTCAACAAATCAACTTCTGTTGGGTTCCTCCAGAGTTCAGGTGCATTGAGTCTGGGCACCTTTTAATACAGGTTGGTGGGATTTGAACCTGTTGACTTATGAGTTACACCCTTTGATAAAAGGCTATCAATACGCTCCCAGAACAAAGTTATTTATCTAAAACCAAGATGGAAAATCTTAAGTATTTGGAAAACAGCTGCTGAGAATATTTTCATTTTGGGAAAAGGTTGTCTCAAATTGGGTATTGGCAGCTGCTGCTCCCTCTCCATCTGTCTGTGGTTCTCCTGCCCCCATCTCTCTTGCCTCCCCCCCCTTATTAAACATTTTTTTTGTCATAATTGAAAGGTCTAGAGGAACTCTGAGGTTGGAGCTAGACAACTATAAGAAGCTGTTGAAGGTAGAACTGGGAAATAGTTCAGTGGCAGAATGGAGTGGGGGATGGGAGGAAGATCTTAACCAGTATCTGAAGAGGGGTAGATAAGGATTTGTGGATGAAGAACAGGTCTACAGAGCAGCCCTCTGGGTAATAGATCATCACTCTCCTAAAGCATCATTAAGTGGGTGGGGTGTACCCTGTCTGAGGCCCTCAAGGGGAGGCCAGCATCACCTCAGGAATTCTTAGGTGTCCCTTCTGGGCTTCTGTGTCTAGAGCTGAAGATTAGAGCCAGCAGCCTAGCTTTCCTTTATTGCCTTGTTTGCATTTATTGCTTTCAATGTCCTGGACAAAATTTGAAAATATTTATCAATTTCTTTTAGAAGTAACAAGACTATTACATAGTAATAAACATATTCTTATGAAAGATAATAGTATTTCTCAATATCAGGGTGCAGTCACATTGTTTTACATTCTGTGTCTTAATAAGAGACATTTTTAAATGTACTTCTGCATTTAGTCCATTACCATATGACATGTCATGTAGCTTCTAGAAAGCTCTACTGTATATGCATGACAGTGAGAATGGAAAAAGTGGTGATGGCTTAGTAGTAGTATGAAAATAGTGTCTGACTAAATGGATCTTCTGAGAGGGTGTCACTTGAGAACTGTTGATGTAGAATAATGTCTTTCTTATTTTAAAAAAATGTTCAAGCTTACTGTGGAGAAAGTTTAAACATACAGAACGCTGTGCAAAAATAAAAGCTGCCCATCATGTCACCATGCTGTGTGTTTGTATTTAAATAACAGTAGTGTAGTACCTGACTATTTGAGTGGCTTAGATTTGAGGCAGGTTGGGCAGATATTAGTGGCCATCGGGTTTTGAATGGGGATAAAGCGACTCTAATATCCCACAAAGCTGACACCAGTTCCTGGTTGCAGGCCGAGCTGACCTGGAAGCCTCTCGTTGGCCACTGTCCTTTCTAAGGAACTCGCCTTCCAGAGCCCGCCTGCACAGAACTGGTGGGGACTCTTCTAGGAGCAGAGAGAATGGCGCACTTCAGGCAGCTCTCCCTGGGCTCGAAGGCTGCCCTGGCTGCGGTCACTGTCTTCGTGTCCATGATCCTCTCCCGCTCCTATCTGGCACAGAGCCTGGAGCTCAGGGCCTGGCGATGGCTGTTCCGCCTGCAGCTTGCTCTCTTTGTCAACTCGCTCATGCTCATTGGTTCCCTCTACATCTGGCGTAGCACAGTGAGCAACCTCTGTCACTCCCCAGCAATGGAGTCCACCTGTTTCCAGCTTTGGAAACTGGTCGTGATGGTGTTTCTGGCCCTGGCCCATTCCAGTTTCTTCACCATGCTCTTTCTGGTGGCCGAGGAGCCCTATTTCTTTTCCCTGGCGGCCTATTCCTGCCTGGGTGCTTATATCATCATGGTTTTCTTCCTCTGCATCCTCAGCGGCATGGAGCAGGCCTACCAGCTCTTGGCCTGGCGCAGCGGTAGGATCGTGGGCAGCCTTGACAAGTCGAGGAAGCTGGTGCTCAGGCCTGCCCTGGCGGTGGTGGTGACTGCCGTGCTCAGCATGATGGGGCTCCTGAATGCTGCTAAGCCCCCAGCAGTGAAAACCGTGGAGCTGCCCATCCCTCAGCTGCCCCTGTCTATGAACAACCTCAAGATCGTGCTCCTCTCTGACATTCACTTGGGGCCCACAGTGGGCAGGACCAAGATGGAGATGTTTGTGAAGATGGTGAATGCATTGGAACCCGATGTCACGGTGATTGTGGGTGACCTCTCTGATTCAGAAGCCTCTGTCCTTCGGACGGCTGTTGCTCCTTTGGGCCAGCTTCATTCACGCCTTGGCACCTACTTTGTCACGGGCAATCATGAGTACTATACGTCGGATGTCAGCAACTGGTTTGCACTGCTGGAGTCCCTGCGTGTCCGGCCACTTCACAATGAGAATGTGAAGATTTCTGCCACGGGGGCCCAGCGTGGCGGTGGTGGTGGTGAAAGTGAAGACTGGATCTGCTTGGCCGGAGTGGATGATATCGAAGCAGACATTCTGCACTACTCTGGCCATGGCATGGATCTTGACAAGGCCCTGGGGGACTGCACCCCAGACCACACCATCATTTTGCTAGCTCACCAGCCCCTGGCTGCCAAGAGAGCCCTCCAGGCGCGGCCAGATATTAACCTGATCCTTTCTGGGCACACACATGCTGGGCAAATCTTCCCGTTGAACGTGGCAGCATATCTCCTGAACCCCTTCTTTGCAGGTCTCTACCAAGTGGCCCAGACTACGTTTGTATATGTCAGTCCAGGGACAGCCTACTATGGGATTCCCATGAGGCTGGGGAGCAGGGCAGAGATCACAGAGCTCATCTTGCAACAGGCTCCCTGAACCAGCCCTGCCCTCAGTACCCCTGCCCTCCCCTACCCTTCCCCCTCCGTCCCTCTTCAGAGTTATTTGCCAGCTTTACCCCTTCAGCCATGACAGCACCCCCTTGGTCACAAACCTAACATGAACAGTGATTTGTAGTGGGGTTGCCTGGCAAGTTCAGGCTGGTTTAATTCTTTAAGTGGCTACTTGCTTTTTGGTATGCACCTATGAGGCCACTTAGGACACCTATAAGAGGACATGCTTCTGTTTTCCAGTTGGTGTGAAGTGAAGTCCTCCTGCAGAGCTCACAGGGAAGAACCCCAATGTGGAGTTGCTCGTTTAGAACCTGAAAGGGGTAGGAGTGTGTCTTCCTCTTGGTGTTTTTTAAACCTTCTTTAGGACTTAGATCTAGAACCTTTCTAGAGGTGGTATTGGTAGGTAATGTGGGACAACAGGTAAGCTCGGAAGTCCCTTGGATTGCTGGAGAATATTGTCTTATTCTGCTGGGTTCTGACGGAATCAGCTTTATTGAGGGCATTAGCAAAAACTGCTGGAACACAGAGGGCCTCTCGTGTTCAGGTCTTGAGTAATGCCGTTCGTGCTCTTGGGTGGCCTGGGATGGGGGCTGCTTGAGCAAAAAAAAAAAAAAAAAAAGCTCTCTGGCAGGTGATGGTCATTCTGCTGCTTAGGACCTCGGGGTTTTACCTCCCTTGTCTTTTATACTTGGGTGAGGTAATTAGGGACAGGTGGCTTCTGTATTTATAGATGAGGAAACTAAGAGAAAGAGGCAAGGCACCCCAACATGACAAGGTATGTTGAAGGGCTGGGGACGTAGCTTACTGACATAGCGTTTGCCTAGTATATGCAGGGCCCTAGGAGAGATCCCCAACATCATGAAAAACAAAGACAGGTTGGAGACTTGGGGCTAGAAGCCAGGTCTGCCTCCTACTGAAAGTTCTTTCCACTGTCTGGTGGTTAAGTAGCTTTGTCATTATATTTGAGTATAGAGTCTCACACAGTTAACTGCAAAAGGAGAACAAACCAGAACCTGATGTTCCTTCAGAGTTATTTGCTGAAGTCTGACTTCAGTTTACCCACCACTACGTGGAACAGAGCCTACAAGGAAATTAGCTAGTTTGGGTGTAGGCTGTTAACATTTGAGGAAGAGTCAGGAAACTGGGGCCCCCTACTTCTCACCCCAGGTTGGGGTCTGACGAGAAGTTAAGGTTCACAATCCACCCATGGGGAAGTTGAAGCTTTCATGGGGTGTGGCAGGGCTCTATGCCTCTTGCAGGGCCTTTCCAGCTTCCCCTCCTGAGCCCTGGAGTTCAGGAACTGTTCTTCCTGGTGGGCAGATTCCAATCCACCTGTCTTGCCCCAGGAGAGCTGCCCTTAGACTCTGGCAACAGAAATAACAGGATCGTTCCTTAATGACTTCTAGACTCAGAAAAAGAAGTAGGGGTGACTGCCCTGGAGTGATTCCCAACCTCTTGGCCTAGACCTTGCCAGAAGAAATGAACCTTGGACTTTGGAATACCAATAAGCCCTCCTCTTAGAAAGGCTTGAGAAATCTGAGGGCTTGGGCTCAGTGTTAACTTCTGAGTAATTTTTAGACATGGGGCTGACAGGGAGCACAGACACACTCTGATGGGAGGGTCTCGCTCTCCTGCTCACTAGTGGGGCATCATAGGTCAGTGAGGTGACCTCACAGAACTGTGGCTTTCAAGATTGTTTCGTTGGGGTGGGAATCAAGACATGGTGCCTGAGTTCCGTGTAGCACTGTGCATAGTTATGTGAATATATTGACAACATGTGAGCTTGCTAAGGAACTATCCTGTGCACAGGTGCCCAGAGAATTTCTGGAGCAACTGATCCTGGGGAATGTGGGTGAATAGCATTCCACCTGTTACCAGGGCCCCGTGAGATGTTGCAGCAGCAACTCGTGGGAAGTCATCTTCCCCTCCCCATGTTAGTCTTCTTGTGTATGCTCTGCCTGGCAGATGGAGTGTCTTCACTTTTTCTTTGTTCTTCTGGGTTCTCCAGAACCCCATCCCTTGTTCCTGGGTAGCGAAGGCATCAAAAGTGAACCATCCCGTCAAGTTTAATAAATGTCTTTGAGGTGAAACTGATGGTTTTCTTATTTTTTTTCCCCCTGTATAGAATTTCAGAGCAATGGAAGGGACCCTGGAGAACCTTTTTATTTTATTTAACCCAGGGGTGCTTTACCACTGAGCTACATTCTCAGCCACCACCCTGTCCTTTTAAATTTTTTTATTTTGAGACCGGGTCCAAGTTGCTTAGGTCCTCGCTAAATTGCTGAAGCTGGCCTTGAACTTGGGATCCTTCTGTCTTAGCCTCCTAAGTTGCTGGGATTATAGGCATGTGCCACCACACTTGGCTGGAGAAGCTTTAAAAATAATAATAATAATAATAAAACAAACAAACAAAAAAAAAAACGTTTTACAAATGGTGGAATTCTAGGAATGGACACAGCACAGCACCCAGTTCCCTGACTCTCTTTGCAGGGTACCACTGCCAAGCCTGCCACACCTCCAACTGCTCTTCCGAATGTTCTCTCTCCTTTGTGACCCAGCCTCAGTTGGGGCATCATTCTTACTGCCTTTTTCAGTTCTCCTTTGTTTGAGATTGCACCTGACTAGGCTAGTTGTTGACATTTCATTCCTACCTTTTGGTTCTGTTGATAGCGACTGACTTCCCTGCTGAACTTGATATTTTGCTGGTTTCTTGATTTCTAGATCTTTCTCAAGTGCCCTGTGCTTGATGAAATCAGCCTTCATCAAGTTCTGTTGTTTATCTTGGATCCTTGTCTCTCTTGGATGTCATCATTTTGTGGTCTGTGTACCCTTCACCCACTCTGAACTCTTTGCTTGATGGATTGCTTTTCTATTAACAGAAAGGAAGTAAGGCCACCCTAGGAATCCAAGAAAAGGCATTAACATTCTCTTATTCTTGGTTTGTATTCCCTGACTTGGGGTAGGGGGGTAGGGGAGAGGATGTTCCCAGAAGAAATTTCTCTATTATTGTTCAGATGTGTCCCTGTTGCACCCTTTGTTCCCTCTGTTCAATGCACTGAATGGACTAGTTTTCTTCATGCTTGTGGCTGTGATGAAGAACCTTACTTGAAGCTTGATCATTCTGTTTTGTTTTTCTATTCATTAGATGCAAATTGAAATGTAATGCTTTTTATAATTAATAATAGCATGTGTTATATTGTTATAAAATACAAAAAATTAGGGCTGGGGATATAGCTCAGTTGGTAGAGTGCTTATTGCATGCACAAAGTCCTGGGTTCAATCCCCAGCACCCTCTTCCCCCATCACACACACACATACACACACACACACAAATATATATATATATATATAAAATTAATTCTGCCAACCATTTAAAACATCCATCCAGCCTTTTCTTCTTTGATTTGTTTTAAACTTTTTATTATGGGAATTCTCATGAAAGTAGAATAGCATACTGACATGTCCCTGTCACCCAGCATCAACATTGTGACTCTCCTGCCACTCTTTCCCATCTGCCCTTTTTCCACACTCTTTCATATTTCTTTTTTAGCATAAGCATATTAAGTCTTAGGAAACGTAATTTTTTTCCCCCATAAGCAATTCGGTATAAATCCTTTGCTTAAAAAGCATAACCATATGCCATTATGATATCCACTAAAAATAACAGTGGTTCATAAAATCATGTAATATCCAGGAGATTTGGAGCTAGAGAAGCCAGATCTTTTACCTCCCAGTAAAATATTGGAACTTTCCACTCTCCTTGAGATCAATTCTTCTCAATACTGTCAGATATATGCCTTCAAGTGGAATCTTGCTGGATCATAATGGCAATCATTCTGTTTTCATTTTTTGTGGACCCCCCTCCCCCCCCCCCGCCGCCATCCCATACTGCTTTCCAGAGCAGTTGCACCATTTTACAATCTCACCAACAATACATGGGGCCCCAGTTTCTCCACATCTTTGGTAACACTCATTTTCTGTTGCTTTTTTTTTTTTTTTATAGTGACCATCCTAATGAGTTGATATTGTGATTTAAAAAAAAAATTTTTTTTTTAGTTGAAGGACCTTTATTTATTTGTATGTGATGCTGAGAATTGAACCCAGTGCCTCACGCATGCTAGGCAAATGCTCTGACACTGAGTCACAACCCCAGCCCTTATATTGTGATTTTGATATGTGTGATGTAGAGCAGTTTTCACTGCCGATTGGCTTTTTTTTTTTTTTTGTACCAGGAATTGAACTTGGGGGCACTCAACCACTGAGCCATATCCCCAGCCTTATTTTATATTTTATTTAGAGACAAGGTCTCACTGAGTTGCTTAGTGCCTCATACTATCTTTGGAGAAATTTCTATTCAACCCTTTGCATATTTTCAAACCTGGTGGTTTTGCTTTTGAGTTGTAGGATTTCCTTATATATTCTGAGTATTTAGTCTATCAGATACTTGGTTTGCAGATATGTTATGCAATTCTGTGGGTTGCCTTGCCTTTTCACTGTTGATTTGTCTCTCTACCCCTAAAACCTAGGGGTGCTCTACCACTAAGCTATATCCCCAACCCCTTTCTTTTTTATTTTGAGACAGGGTCCCACAAAATCACCCAGTCTGACCTCAAACTTGTGATGCTCCTGCCTGAGCCTCCTGAGCAGCTAGGATTATAGACATTTGTCACTGCACTGGGCTTGAACTAATTTTGGATGTCCTTTCCCCATCAAATGATCTTGGCACCTTGGTTGATAATTGTTTGACTGTATATAAGAGTATTTACTTCTGGCCTCTGTTTTCATCCATTGTTTAGTCTGTAGGGCATTGACACTGTTTTTGATTACTGTAGCTTTGTAATATATTTTGAAATAAAGAAATATAAGTCTTCAGACTTTGTTCTTCTTTTTCAATATTGTCTTGCTCTTTGGGTTCTTTGAGATTCCATATGAATTTTAGGATGAGTTTTTCTACTTCTGCAAAAATGCCTTTGGAATTTTGATAGGGGCTGTGTTGACTCTGGATCATTTTAGATGATATGGTCATTGTAAATATATTAAGTCTTCCAATCCATGAAGACTGGAGTAGTGTTTTGTACTTTTCACTGTGTAAGTCTTTTGTCTCCTTGGTGAAGTTTATTCCTAAGTATTTTACCTTTTTTAAAATTTATTTTTATTTTTTTAAAATTCATTTCCTCTAGTAACTGGGGATTGAACCCAGGGGGAGCTCTATCACTGAAATACACCCACAGCCCTTGTTATTTTTTGAGACAGGTCTTGCTGAGTTGCTGTGGGCTAGCCTCCAACTTGGGATCCTCCTGCCTCAGCTGTGGAATAGCTCTGAATATAGGCGAGAGCCACACCCAAACTTCTTGATGCTTTTGCACATGGAATTGTTTTTTCTTATTTCCTTTTAGGATTGTTCAGTGTCAGGGTATAGAAATGCAACTAATTTCTGTGTTGATTTTTGTGTCCTTCTACTTTACTGAATTCATTTATTAGTCCTAGCAGGTTTTCTTTTTTCTTTTTTTTTTTTTTATGGAATCTTTACTGTTTTCTGTATGTAAGACCATGTGACATACAAAGAGGTAATTTTACTTGTTAGTTTGAATGCCCTTTTTTTTTTTGGTGTAGTTGGACACAATGCCTTTATTTTATTTACCTGTTTTTATGTGGTGCTGAGGATCAAACCCAGGGCCTCGCACATGCTAGGCAAGCTCTCTACCGCTGAGCCACAACCCCAATCCTTGAATGCCTTTTCTTTCTTTCTTGCCTAGGTGGTCTGTTTAGGACTTCTAGTCCTCTGATGAGTAGAAGTGGCAAAAACAGGCATCCTTGCCTTGTTCTGTTCTTATAGGAGGAGATTGCGCTCTTTCCCCATTGAGTGACTTTAAGCCTTTATTAGGTTGAGGTAGTTTTCTTCTTTTCCTGGTTTGTTTTGTTTATCATGAAAGGGTGTTGTGTCTTGCTGGGTGTGCTCTTTCTGGCTCAGCTGAGTTGATCCTGGTTTTGCCCTTCTTTCTGGTAATCCAGTGTATTACACGGATTGCTTTTTCATATGTTGAACCATTCTTGCATTCCAGGAGTAAATCCCATTTGATCATGGTATATATTCCTTTTTTTTTTAAACGTACCTTTATTTATTTTTGTGTGGTGCTGAGGATCAAACCCAGTGACTCACACATGCTAGACAAGTGCTCTACCAGTAAGCCATAACCCCAATCCATATTCCTTTTAATGTGCTGTTGTATTCAGTTTGCTAGTATTTTGTTGGGGATTTTTGCCTCAGTGTTCATTAGGGAGATTGGCCTGTGGTTTTCTTTGTCTTTTTTTGGCTTTGGTATTAGGACAAAATGGGCCTCATAGAATGAACTTGGAGGTGTCCTCTTCAGTTTTTTGGAAGATTTTCAGGAGAATTGAATTAATTATTTAAATGTTTGGTAGAATTCCCTAGTGACACCATCTGGTTCTGGGTTTCTCTTTGAGGTTTTTGGTTACTGATTCAATCTCCTTACTAGTTATTGCTGTGTTCACATTTTTTCTTTTTAAATTTTTTTTTTCTTTTTAATACTGGGGATGGAACCCAGGAGCACATTACCACTGAGCTACATTCTCAGTCCTTTTTATTTTTTGAGACAGAGTCTTGCTCAGCTGCTTAGGGGCTCACTAAGTTGCTGAGTCTGATCTTGAACTTGGAATCCTGCCTCAGCCTCCGGAGTTGCTCGGATTATAGGTGTGTGCCACCACACCTGGCTCTGCTCAGATTTTCTACTTCATGATTCAGTCTTGGTAGGTTGTGTGTTTCTAAAAGTGCATTCATCTCTTGTGGGTTACTCCAAATGTCAGCATATGGCTTCTCTTGGAATTCTCTTACAATGTTTTTTATTTCTATGGCATCAGTTGTAATGTCCGTCTTTCATTTCTGACATTTATTTTTATTAAACCATCTAGCTAAAGGTTTGTCAATTTTGTTGATCCCTAAAAAAATCCAACTTTTATTTTTTGCACAGGTTTTCTATTCCCTATTTCACTTACCTTTGCTCTAATCTTTTATTTCCTACCTTCGCCCAACTTTGTGTTTAGCTTGTTCTTTGTCTAATTTCTTGAGGAATTACAGTATTATATATAGTTCTTCTGTTTGAATCAGGATCTAAAAACAAGCTCCCTTTACTGTGTGCGACATATTTCTTAAGTCTCTAGTCTGTAACATTGCTTATTATGTTGCCCTTCTTTGTTCAAGTTATCCGGGTTGAATGTCTTGGAATTTCCTACATTTTATATTTGTGGTGGTTTGGGGGCATGTTCCCTCCCTCATGTTTTCTGTGGACAGGTGGAGCTAGCCCTCTGGAGAGGTTAGAGCGAGAGGCTGGATGGATTCAGGTTCAACTCTTTTGGTGGGAAGACATCATTGCCTGGGTGATGCTAAGACTGACCAGGAGTCATCAGCTCCATCTTGCCACTAGAAAGTTCCTCATCTTTCATCAGATGATGATTCAGCAGTCGTTGGTGATTGTTGCCTATAGTCATAATTTCATCAAGGGTCACAAAATGGCAGCTTTTCAATTCCATCGTTTCTTCTTTATTTACTAATTGTGGTTCTCCACTAAGAATTCCCCTGACCAGTTGGTTACTCAGCAAAAGTGTATAGCATAAGCAAGGTAGATAGATGCTAGATTCTTTCACTTTACTTTTGAGTTGTTAGAATCATGAGCTGATACCCCAGAAACCTTCCAGCATGACCAGTAAGCTTCTGTTTTGGGTAGGTGAGAATTTTATTATGAATGTGGATATTTTTAGTTTAGTTTTTTTTTTTTTTTTAATCAAAGAGGTCTTTTGATGCTCAAAATATCTCATCTTTACCAATTGGAGTCCCTTCAAACTGGCGTCTGTTAATTTGATGTGACCATATTTTTTAAAAAATATAATTTTGGACTTGTTCTGTACATATTCTGCTATAGTTTTAGATTAGTTTCATGAAGAAGTTGTCCTGGTTCCTTATAGTGAGAAATATTTAGAGATCACAGTTTAAGTGCTAGATTAGCAGCTGGGTTAGATCACTACTAGGTTAGATTGCTTAGATTAGCTTGTTCCTGGACAGTATTGTTTTTTAAGCTCTTGCCCTGGGTATTGCTAGGAAATAAAATACTTGTTTAGAAGGAGTGGGGGAAGCAAATGTTAAGTGCATTTTAGTATTTCCAATTCAAGTGGAAGATTACTAGGTTTTTTAAATAGACTTTTTAATGTTTTGAGCAGTTCTAGGTTCACAGCAAAACTCGGTGAAAAGTTGTAGATATTTCCTCTATACCCCCTGAATACAGGATTTTTTTCTTTTGGTTTCTTTTACACTGCAAATTTTGATTCCTGATAACCTGATGTAATTACCTTTTTTTTTTTTTTTTTTGTACCAGGGATTGACCTAGGAGTACTTTACCACTGAGATACATCCCCAGCCCTCTTTTTTATCTTTTATTGTGAGACAGCATCTTGCTAAATTACTAAGGGTCTTGTTAAGTTGCTTAGGGCCTCAGTAAGTTGCTGAGGTTGGCTTTGAACTTGCAATCCTCCTGTCTTAGGCTCCCGAGTTTCTGGGATTACAGGCGTGTGCTGCCATGCCCAGATGTAATTACTTATTTAGTGTATCCTACTACATATACTTTAGGTTGTAAGTAGCAATATCAACATTATCACTGAGATGAAGACTACTGAATGTAGTTTGTTTTGATTTTTTTTTTTTTTTGCCTGTATGATTTAAGCTGTACTTTTATCTATAGGCTAAAGAGTCAAAATTGTACTTCATATTCACTTGGAATATTTTTTTGGTATGGAAAATAAGGTCTATTTTTAACTTTTAAGAATTGTTTTAGGGCTGGGACTATATGTAACTCGGTGGCAGAGCACTTGTCTGTCACATGTGAGGCACTGGGTTAGATGCTTAGCACCACATAAAATAAAGGCATGCTGTCTGTCTATAACTACAAAAAAATTTTTTTAAAAATTGTTTTAGCTGGGCATGATGGCACACACCTATAATCCCAGCTACTAGGGAGGCTGAAGCAGGAGGATCAGGAGTTCAAGGCCAACCTGGGCAACATAGTGATATCCTGTCTCAATAAATAAATGTTTTATATTTTCAAATTTTATTTGTATAAAGCTATTTAATTTGAGATAAAGGGGAAGAATTAAATTTGTAAATGTCCATGAGTCCCAAAGGATTGGGAACCAGTTCAGAACTCGTCCTTCTCCATCTTTCATTGTCTTGTGTTGTTATTTACCCATCTTACCCACAGACTTTTGGAATGTGGAACAAAAACATTTTTGTCATAAGACAGGCATGAATAAATTGAATGGGTAAGCAGGTCACCTACAGACCCTCTCCCTGTCACTCTTTTTGGTACCAGAGATTGAACCCCAGGGGTGCTTTACCACTGAGCCACATCCCCAGCCCTTTTATATATTTTCTTAGAGACAGGGTCTCACTGAGTTACATAGTGCCTCGATAACTTGCTGAGGCTGGCTTTGAACTTGTAATCCTCCTGCCTCAGCCTCTGAGTCGCTGGGATTACATTTAAGCGCCACCGCCCTCGGCTTCCCTGTCACTCTTGACCATCACTGTGGTCTGTCTGTCTTGCCTCTCTAGGCTGTCTGAGGAGACATTTCTATTTCACTTGAATCTTTGAGAAGTCTGAGATCCCATGGTGTGGGATCTAGCCCTTCCCACTCCACTTCCCTCAGTTCCTCTTCCCTTAGCCGTGGGTGCAAGCCAAGGAAAAGGATTGGGTCTCTGCCACCATGGAGCCAAATAGCTCATGCCAGAAGTTCCCCAGGCTCTTGGGCTTCTGGGGTGAATGGAAAGGAGGTACTGGGGATAGAGATCTGCTGAATGTGTTTTCCAGTT